TCGATTTTTTTGTATTTTCCCCATACCTACATTTTCATCTTTATTAGATGTGGTACGAAAATGGAACACCTCGGTCGACTATATCTCGTACCTCACCCACAGTTTGACATTTTCTAAAAATTAACAAATTTTTTATATAAATTGAAGGAAGTAATTGATGTAGTCCAAACCTGGCACGTCTCAATATTTTTATCATATTTATTTTGGTCCGATACGAATTGGTCAAAATTGGTCCATTCCTTCGGGACCTACTCCATAGAGGGTCAACAATTTGAATAATCATAACAGAAGTCGAAATACATTTAAATAATCGAACATTAGCTGTGTGTATACGTCTGTCGGCATAACCGACTGATACTTTTTCATTTGTTTAACTCACATTTATCTATTTTACCCCAAAGGTAATTCTCAAACAGAAGCCCATTATTAAATATTAGCAATTTTATTCCTAATGCAAAAATCATGCATATTTCTATGAAACATCTATGAAATTAATAATTGAAAACATACAAACTGACACACATTATCATTTAAACAAAAATAAACTCATCTCAACTCAAAACTCCGCCAGATTACAAAAGATCAAAAACATAAGACATCAAAATAAGAGACAAGCACAAAAAAAACGTGCCCCACTCAATGTGAGGTCTATTAAATATGCCAATGGAAATTTAAATAATTTCTTCCTTTCCACCCTGCCTCAGACTTCTCTTTATCTTTGGCCACAAAAAAAACGAATTTGCATTTTTTTATTTTCTCGAAACAATATTTATATGAGTTTCACACTTTGGCACAAAAAATTGAAACCTCTGTAGAGGGAATATTTTATGCGGCATCACAGCTTAGACGAATCGGCAGAACGTCATAAAATTGTAAGCGTTTCGAGAGCGAGTTGAAGAATAAATAAAAATTATTTTTAATGGGAATTTTGGGAATGGGGAATTTGAATATGAAATGTTGTTCGGGTTTAAGTCCAGGCATGTCTTCTTGAGACAGGTTTGAGGAGGAATCACCATTAAAAATATATACATTGTAATCCCTTTAAACGGAATTGAGAATTTTGGGAATATCGAGTAACTACTAATGAGTCAACAAGTCATTGAAGATGGCTTGAGTTTTTATGTTACGAATTTTCGAAATTTTGAAACATGTCATTGTAATTCTGTAAGATGACCGAATTTCAGGTAAATTGTTTTCAAAAGAATGCTCAAAACTTTGAAATTTGTAAAATGTTGAGATTTTTTTTAAGAAGCTCTATTGCAAAATATTGCATATTGCAATTATTGCATCGGAAAAGATATATAAGATTATGGCATTAAGGCTCTAACAAAAATATTTTTATATAATAAAATGTTTATGTTTTAAAAAAAATCCCAATTTTCTTCTAAATTAAATTAAATTAAATTTTATAATTTGTAAAATATAAATAATTCACAAATTTGGAACATAAAATTTATTTGGTAGGACGTTTCAAAAAAAAAAAAATAAATAAATAAAAATTGTAGGAGTCAAAAGAATATTATTCAGATATCAATGACTTCTATCAGAAGGACCTTTAAATCAATATTCTTAGGAAATCCATCCATTAACCTGGAGGACCTTTAAAAATTCCACGAAAAAAATCATTGAAGAAAATCCACAACTTTTGGGGGCAAAAATTCGGCTAGAAAAAAATATTCTTAAAATAATCCACGAAATCTCCACGATCCACGAAAATTAAAAAAAAAATATTCGTAAAAATCCACTACAAAAAACCAATTCTCAAAAACCCCGCATTTTGTCCCTGAGGACATTGAAAAATATTTCTAATAATCGACGAGTATATCCGGCAGATTTTTTTTCAAAATATTTGTTCGGGAGGGCCCACCGACATGGCTTTGAAAAATATATTCTTAAAAAATGCACGGCTATTGTCCACGAAGGCCCTAAAGCTCCCCAAAAAAAACTTTTGGCCCAGTGTGAATTAATGAAAACTTTAAAATGGCCATAACTCCTTAAATATTGAGTTTTCGGCGTTTTTAGCAATTATTTGAAAAAATATTTTTGAACGACTCAACGACTTTTATTATTTTTTATTGAAATAATATTGTCTAAAAATCTTGAATTTTATATAGAAAGAACTTTAAAATTTCTATTCGAAAAATCAGAGGCTTTTTTGGGAGGATCTTTAAAAAATATTCTTAGAAAATCCAGACTTTTATCCTGTGGAGGACCTTGAAAAATATTCAGAAAAATGTTCAAAAAAATCACGACATTTGTAAGTATTTTTAAAAAAATCTACAACTTGTGGACGTTGAACTGTTATTCAAAAAACAATTCTTAAAAAAGTCCCAAAAGGCTTTTCCTAAAAAATCACGATTTTAGACCAGAAGGAACTCGAAAAAATATTCATAAAAAATCGACAATATTTATCCAGAATTTCTTTGTAAAAAGTAATCTTAGAACCTCCACCACTTTTGTTGGGGAGGACTGACTGTAAAAAATGTTCTTAAAAAATATTAAAAAAAAATATAGTTAGAAAAAATTCCGAGTTATTCCTAATAAAAATTACGATCCTTGAAAAAAAATATATTAGAAAAATGCACGATTTTTATCAGGAAGTTACATGAAAAGGACTTTTTTGCCGACAAAATTGATTTGAATATAACCTCTACCATGAGGTAAAGAAAACCTTTTAAAAAGAAGTATCGAGATTCCATTCCTGCCAGTGAAATCGATCGGTTGGTAAAAAGTCATCGTTCCTGCTACAAATATTGGTGATATCAGAAATCATGGACCTATTCCAGCTGTTTTCTGCCACATAAAACAGAACCCATTTCTGCATCATAATTTTAAACGATTCCGTTAGAAAATGTGGTTAAAGTAGTCAAAAAACCGAATACCGGGACGTCTGTTGATCCTTGAAAATATATTCTTTAAAAATCCACGTTTATTGATCTATTGATCCTTGAAAAAAATTTTTTTAAAAAGGTTTTTTTTTGGCCTGTTGATCCTTGAAAAAGATATTCTTTATAAATCCAAGTTCTATTGGCCTGTTGATCCTTGAAAAAATATTCTTTATAAATCCACGTTCTATTGGCCTGTTGATCCTTGAAAAAAATATTCTTTAAAAGTCCACGTTTAATTGGTCTGTTGATCCTTGAAAAAATATTCTTTAAAAATCCACGCTTTATTGGTCTGTTGATCCTTGAAAATATATTCTTTAAACATCCACGTTTTGTTGGTATGTTGGTCCACGGTCGGTCCTTAAAAATATTCTTTAAAACTTTACGTTTATTGCAATGTTGGTCCTTGAAAAATATTCTTCACAAATCCATGGTCGGTACTTAATAAAATATTCTTTACAAATCCACGTTTATTGATCTAATATGGAGGCTATACGGAAACGTGGATCTATATCGACAATGTTCTGCCGCAACTCTTAATACCAAATTTTAAACTACGCCGTTAAGAAGTGGGCCTTAAATGTAACAAAATATCGAATATGGGGAGATACAATTATATCGTTGACCGTTGACCGATATAGCCCATCTATTCAAAATCTTAGCTTCCTATCACATGCCATTTGGATTATATCGTGATTACAACACACGGACAGAGGGACGAACAAAGCTATATCGACTCAAAAATTTAATCTGATCTAGAATATATATCCTTTGTTGGGTCTAAAATGATTATTTCAATGAATTATAAATATAGAAATTACTAACTCAAATAAAGGATTTAGGATTCCTGGTCAAGAGGTCCCAAAAAAATATATAAAAACAGCAAACCTTGACTTTAAAAAATATTTTAAAAAATCCAGGGTTATTTTGCAAATAAATTTCGACACTTGGCCCAGTCATTAACAGCAAAACTTTCAAAAATGTACGATTCATAAAAAGAATTTTTTTAATGAATACCGAATTCATGGTCCTTAAAAAATATTTTTAAAAAATCCCAATTCGGGCCCTTAAAAGGTTTAAAAAATCCACAGCTTCGGAAAAAAATCCACTATACTTGGCAACGAAAGAATTTAAAAAATATTTGAAAGATCTTCAATTCTTGGCCAGGAACTTCTTAACAACATAAAAAAAAAAGTTTTTTTTGAAAAACATTTTTAAAAATGTAGGATTCATAGTCAAGACTTCCTTAAAAAAATTATTTATTTATATGGGGGGCTATACGACCCCCATATAAGTGTTTTCATTTGATATTTATTTTTCTGCGAATTTTTTTTAATATTTTCCGAATCGAAATTTAGGTCTGTTTGTACTTCGGTAACCGATTTTCCATTTATGATATCGAAAAAATTGCAAAACTATTGGATTCTTGCAGGTTATGGAACAGAGCATTTGATAGATTTCCAAAGCCGATTTAATCCATCAAACGAAAGTCGACTTACATATCCCTAAGGCAAATTTTTCTAAATTTGCTCTGTTCCAGAAGCTGCAAGAATTATTTGCGGGTTCTGGAACAAAGAAATTGTCTATCTTTAAAATCGGATTAAATTTGGCAGATGTCAAAAGTCGATTAAACGATCAAACGAAAGTCGACTTACATATCCCTAACGCACGGCTTTCCAAAATCTTGTATGCTTTCCATATTTTCTTTTCAACTTCTATTCCATAATTTTTTCGAGCTCTATTCAATCCTTCGGATATTTAGATATATCTTCCAAACAGTCAGCCTTTTTTTCAAGCACTCGAAAGCTATTAACATTTCACTGTTTTGTTTTCCTTCATTCCAAAAACTTGTTCTCCCCTTTGGTGTACAAAGTCCTGCTGCCATTGCTTGGAAAATCTAAACACGTACCATGGACTTAAGCTAATGGAGTTAATCTCTTTACAAAATGACTCATCAGCCGCTTCGTCAGCAGTTGACGCGCAATGTAAAACAAGTTTTTACAATTCTCATTAAATTCTTTGACGAGGGTATTTAAATTCCAGCGCCAGGCAAACGCCAACAAAAACTCCAACAAATTTAAATGAAAATTCCAATTTTGTTCATTCTAAACTTACCTCTTGGTTGTTGCTTTTTTAAACTGGCTTCAACTTTTTTGTTGTTGTTATTTTTGTTACTTCACTCTTCAATTGAGAGGGGGCTTGGGGCTTGCAGAGTTGTTGTTCTTTTTGTTTTGTGGTTAAATTGTCAAAGAACAATGTTGTCGAACAAGTATCCGCTGGATTGCCTGAGCAGCATAAAAAGATCAATTCGTTAAACACCGACCAAACGACCAACCGACCGGCCGCCAAGAAAATACAACAAGAATACCCGAATGCGGCGAGACAAGAAATGAAACAAAAAGAAAAAAGAATGGAGATTGGATTTTGGAAAATTTAGAAACAAAAAGCAATATTCAAAAAATAAATTCAAATCAATTGAAGTTTAACACATTTTTTTGTAATCAACAACAAAATTTTCAAATTGAAATTTGTACCGAAAATAAACACCAAAAAAAAAAAAATTTCACTCAACATTAGATATTTTTTGTTGTTGTTTTCTCCTTCTTTTTTGTTTTTGTTTGCTTTCTTGGAGATGTTTTTATTTTTTTTTTTTCTTGTTTCGTTTTGTTGATTTTAATTGCAAACCGAACACCAGGTCACCAGCGCTTCTTTTTTGGCGTTGAAACAAAGGAATTTCACAAACACGTGAGCGCACAATTCGCAATGAAAGTATTTCAAAAATAACAACAAGTACCACAGAAAAAAGGCCTATACTTTTTTGCGGAATTAGTTTCCTTTGGCATTTTTTTTTTTTTCTATTAAAAACACATTTAATTTTACCACTTTAGCAATCTTTTTTCAAGATCGCGTCTTGTCACTTTGAACCACAGCAATAGAACGGAGGAAAAAAAATAAAACACAAACGTTTCGAAATTCCAAAATACTGCGGTGATTCTTAGTTTTTATTTCTTAAGAAAACCGAACCGTACTCAATAAGAGCCCAAATTAGACTGATGTGGACCCGGTTCGTTTGTTGAAAAAAATAAACCAACGACGGCAATGTTCATCATGATGATGTTGTTGACGATGACGACGACGATGATCGTGCCTACAGCAATTCCAATTCACAACAATTCCAAAGGCATTCATTCTCTCTTTCCATTCAATATCACTCACCGTGGCGCCCAATGTGGTGTTTACTCGGCACAGTCAAAAGCGCGAGAGAGAGAGAGCAAAGGAGAGAAAACCAAACAACACCACATGGAACGAAAGTATTATTCGTATAGAGTTGGTCGGGTCGGCTTGTTTAACTAAAGGCGCAGCAGACAAAAACAACCACACTGAAATGATCTTGCAAACAATAATGGAAAGAGTCACACAGTCAGACAACAAGTCTGCCAGTCATACAGTCAGACAGCCAGCCGGTCGTTCAAGCAACAAGCAAACGAACTTAGTACGGCAACAATAAACACAAAAAAAAGGGAAGCCAAGCTATTTCTTTTGTTTTCTTTCAACTACAAACACAAATGCCGGCAAACCAAGACATGGAGAGACTCTTGAAAAAGTAACAACCACAAAACAACTCTTTTATTCTCACACTCCCCACACAGTGGTGTCTGGCATAATTCTCAGCTACTCTTTAAGGGAATTTCCTTAACAAACCAAAAAGAGAGAGAAAGAAGAAGAGCACTGTCATTAAGAGATACTTACATTAAAAATATAAAAAAGCGTTGCCATTTTTTGGGGGGATTTAAAGTAATGAGGGGAAAAAATATTTAAAAATTGGTCGCCACGAGTTGTTCTAGTTGCTCCTACTGGTATGCCTTTTCTAATTAATCTGCGGAAAGATTTTGTTGGGTAGTATCTATCATAGATGGAGAAAATAATGAGAATGGCATCTTTAAGAGAATTTTGAAATAGCTTTCCTACGTTGAATTTTAACTCATTTAATAATTTATCAAAATATCAATCGAAAACTCAAAGCTCAAAAATTATTTTATACAATTAAAAAAATATCAGTCGGTTTTGCCGGAAGATGTATACCCTCAGCCAATGTTAGAACATTTTAAATATGTTTTGATTTCTGTTATGATTACTCAAATTGTTGACCCTCTATGGTGTAGGTTCGGAAGGAATGGGTAAATTTTACCATTTCGGACCCACATGAATATGATATAAATATTGCGACGTGCCAGGTTTAGAATATATGGACAACTTCCTAAACTTTATATGAGATATGTCACAATTCTTAGAAAATGTTAAAATGTGAGTGAGGTACCAGATATAGTCGACCGAAGTACCAATTTCATACTCGTACTTGATCTGATACAGATAAAAATATTGGTAAATCGAAGATTTATATTCAATTTTATGCGAAATCATAAATTCCATATTCATCTCAGGTTTCTGGTTGTGAGTAATATTTAGATATAACAAATTGTAAAGAATCGCTGACTTGTTTCGCAATTTATGACAGATAAAATTATTGGAAATTGTGACTCTTTGTGGGTGAGGTACTAAAACGGCAGATGTATATTATCCTCACAACAGATCTTGTGTTAGCAAAAATGTTTGTATGTAGGAAATTTGAGGAGATGGATGGATAGATTTGGATGCTTATTTCGCTTTCTTTGAGAATTTTTTTTTTTTCAAAATTTTGAACCCTATGTGGGGGAGGTACCAGAAGAAATGGTGCGATCTCTACCATCTTTATAAAAGATCTTGTGTTGATGGAAATATTGAGATTTATCAAGTCAGAATGGAATCGGACTTTATTTTCACGGTTGACCCTTCGTGGTGGAGGTACCAGAAGGAGTGGACCGATATATCCCATCTTCACACCAAACTTTGAGTTAATAAAAACACTGCGATGTGTGTAATTTAAAGAGCACCGGATGCTTATTTCGGATTTTATGATCGTTTCGATTATTCAAAACTTTGACCCTTTGTGGGGGAGGTATCAGAAGGAAAGGTCCTATCTCTACCATCCTTATAACACATCTTGTGTCGATAGAAATATTTAGATGTACCAAGTCTAAATGGAATCGGATGTTAATTTCGCGTTTTATGAGCTTCATGGATATTCAAAATTTAACCCTTTGTGGGGGAGGTACCATAAGGAGTAGACCGATACAGGGTGAGATAAAAAAAAACAGCAACAAAGTCAAACGCCATAACTTTTACACTTTTTTTAAATGTCATTGAATGAAAGCAAAATATGTCGGAAATAGCATCAAATATTAGAATAAGTTTAGATTTGTTCGAATTGGTAACCTTTGGCACGAATTATGGCCTTCAAACAGCCAATGAAACCACCGTCACACGTTGCCCGAATGTTGCTCTGCGTTATTTTGTCAAGTAAACGCGATCATTTTGTTTGTTTACAAACTGCTGGACAACGAATGGTTTCTCATCGGAGACGGAGAAAACCAAATTCGGCAGTTTACCACTTTCGGGCAAGCGAAGCTACTCTTTAGCCCTTTTGAGTCTATTTTTATACCCTCCACCTTGGAAAGGAGGGTATATTAACTTTGTCATTCCGTTTGTAACATCCTTAAATATTCGTCGTAGACCCCATAAAGTATATATATTCATAATCAGCATAAAATTCTAAGTCGATTTAACGATGTCCGTCTGTCTGTCTGTCCGTCTGTCTGTCTGTCTGTTGAAATCACGATACAGCCCACATTATTTGACGTAGAGCGCCAAAATTTAGCAGATTTTGCTAAATGGTATTGTGTCTAGGATGGTTGGTATTGAAAATGAGATATATCGGTCCACGTTCTGGTATAGTCCCCATATAACGGTACCTCCCGATATTCGGTATTTTGATGATTTATGCCACATTATTTAACGGATTTGTCTGAAAATTGGTATTTGTAGGTCATAACGGGTCCCTATACGTGTGGCGAAACATTGTATGTATAGGTCCACGTTTTGGTATAGTCCCCATATAACGGTACCTCCCAATATCGGTATTTTGATGATTTTTGACTGATTTTTTCACGAATTTCACTGAAAATTTGGTAGTTGTAGATCATAATGGGTCCCAGTTCGTGTGGCGAGTCATTGTAATTATAGGTCCACGTTTTGGTATAGCCCCCATATAACGGTACCTCCCGATATTCGGTAATTTGATGATTTTTGCCACATTTTTTTCACGTATTTGTCTGAAAATTGGTATTTAAAGGTCATAATGGGTTCTAGCTCCGTTGGCGGAACCTTGCATGTGTAGGTCCACGATTTGGTAGAGCCCCCATATAACGGTACCTCCCGATATTCGGCATTTTAATGGTTTTTGCCACATTTCTTCTAATGTTTCCTTTACCCTAAGGTGGAGGGTACTAAAAGTTTGGCCCGGCCGAACTTAATGTTTTTTTACTTGTCTTTCTGTTGCGGTGTAAGTTCTTGAACTCATTTTTCAATATTTGCCGAATGGAATATTGCGATATGTTCAGCTCACGAGCCATTTTTCGGTCACTGCAATCAGTGACCATCCACTTCCTTGACGTCGGGCTACGCTAACAGTATCACGGTAACGAGCGATGGTACGAGACATAAAAGATTTATTCACATTTAAATGCTGGAGTCCCCTTACGATATCCACTTGTGGTTTTCCAGCCAAATATAAAGAAATCACACCATCACCCTTGAATTCCATTACGAATAACTTTTTTTCCGGAAAATTTTCACCAAAATACTTTTGTACGCTTGTAAACAATATAATGAGCTGTCACTGCAATAATTTTAACAGCTATCGAACGGTTGGCTTAGAAATGACAGCAGTCTGAAGTTGTTTGCAGTTTTTTCATCTCACCCTGTACAAGACGAAAATATATATATTTTTTTAATTCCAATGCTTCTTCCAGGGCAGAGGGAGAATGCGTCTTCTGATTGAAGAACACTGAAAACCAATGGGTTTTCTTATGGAGACCAACTTAGACTTCCTATAGAAGATTAATGGGTCTTCTCCAAAATGACCAATGGGCCGTCGTATGGAAGACCAAGATTTTCTTCTATAAAAGTTGTAGGTATTTTAATAGAAGATCAATTGGTTATTTTATAGAACATCTTTGATTCTTCTTGTAAAACGCTCAATGGGGCTTCTTTCAGATGATTAAATGGTACCCTTATAGATATATTTTAAGGAGCCCGATTGGACTTACTATCCAAGAACAATGGCTCTTGGCATAGGACACAAACGTGTCACGTAATAAGAGACCAATGGATTTTCTCATAACCCACCAAATAATTTTTTTATATCAGACCAATGGGTCTTCATAACCCATTCATAACCCATGGGCTTTCCTATAGAACAACAAAAAACTTCCTATGGAACAGCAATTTGTCTTTTTGTTTCTAATTTTTTCCTATTGACCCTACACCTCTTGAACGAAATCACCAGCTCCCTAAAACGAAACACACTACTTTCATAAGGTTCCCATGCATTTATGATTCATTCCGAGCATATTTGCAGCTTCTATGAATCGTTTAATTACAGAAAAAAAAATAAATAAACCAGAAAAAACAACAAACTGCATTTTTACATTTTGAATGCACCAAAAATGGAGGAAACCCCATTTGGATTCAGGGGAAAAAATTAAATTCTAAAAATAGTTATATTTTAAACTTAACTAGCAATCTCAAAAACTATGCAAATTAGACTGTGCGATTGGGGACGGGAGGTGTGTGTGTGTTTGTCATTCGTTTACATTTACTCTTATTTCCAGCATCATCATCATTATCATATGAGGCATTTTCAGGGAAATGGGAAAAATTCTGGTCTGGAATATTCTCCCTAGAAGTTATTTTAAAAATAACTCCTATGATAACCCCCGTGGTAAACATTAACATCGTTCTCCACTAATAAACAAACTTTGTTTTTATAAAAAAAAATAATAATGGGATTTAGCCTGACTATTTTGCAACAACAAACTACTATGGTATCACGAACAAACATGGCAACACTGTTCTAAATTGTC